AAATTATGATAAAGGTTACCATAATGCGAATGGCATTAGGAGAAAACTGATTTATGGGTACATTGTACATGTTGCTAATCAACAAGAGCTCTGGTTGAATAGGGAATCGCAAACCGAGCATTATTTGGTCGACAAAGAAAGTGAAACAGCCCTCAGGGGGATGAGTAAAGACATCGTTGGGACCAGGGGGAACCAACTCCCAGTCGGAAGGCAAGCCGCTGAACGACCTAAATCCCTCGATTTGGGCTGCAGAGGCATATGAAAAGGATTTAAAACAGCTACTTTAGCCAATGAAAATGCTACTGATACAACATTTCGATGATCGTTAGGAAGAGCAATCAAAGGTTCAGGAACTGGACTAGTTCTATATACAGGTATGTCTAGAAGTTTGAAAGGAATACCTCGAGGAAAACGGTCGAGACGAGGAGTTTCCCCTTGAGAAGGATTTTCTGAAGGATCTACCAAACCGCCCTCTAAAATGGCTTGTTCGTACTCATCCCAGTCGACGCGTGGAGCGACAACGTGGGAAGAAAAAGATGGCGGGGATACACTGACTACTCTGTACCCTACTACTTGCACCAAGTCAGACGATTGGGGGCCCTCGTCAATCAAGCGCTCGACGGTATCAAGAGAGGAGCCACAACTAGAATCTAAAAAGAAAGAAGAGGGGAAGGTCGAAGTTAGTAAAGCATGGAACAGACTAACATGGAGGAGATTAAGAGCGAGTCGGGAGGCGAGGAGGACGAAAAGTTTAAGGGGATCAGGCCCAGGTCGACCAAATCTTAGATCTGGGTCGACCTACTGAAGGAAAAATCGACAAAGTCGATGACGATACGCGAAGAGGAAAAGGGACTCTAAGTCGAGTCAATTCGCCAAAAAAAACAAATTTAAGGGCTATACCTAAAAATGAAAGATCTGACGTCGGAAGTTACCCAGAATCATCTAAAATTTCTTAAGAACATGAAGAACATGCATATATCTCAAACCAAAAACCCAGAAAGCTAACATAACATCTTGCAGAAATAAAAAGGGGAACTTACACATGTTGATTAGGGCAAAGAGTTCTGAGAAGGGTCTGAGAAGTCACCGGATGCTACGGACGCCGGAAACACCAAGAAGCTAGGTCGACGGAAATTCGAGAGTTCAGGGAAAGAGAATCGCGAAAAATGAAGAAAGAGGAAAATGAGAGATATTTATAGGGCGGTTAATGAAGCCCTAGCCCTGCGATTAAAGAGGGAATCAACGGTCAAGATGAGGCACGGAATTTGAAGCGGAAAAAGTAGATGGAGGCGGCGAGTCACATCCCACTCATGAAAAATTTGAAATTCAAAGGAAGAGGACAAAGGGTCATGCTTCAGGAAAATTCTAAGTGAAAGCTTCGACTATAAACTAAGTCAAATAAAATAAGCCGTCGACATGACGAGTAAAAAGTAGAGACGAGACGATTCACCAGTAGAAAGTAAAGGACCCAGCTACCAAATCGGCATGACGATTTGCGAATAAGGACGAGATGACTACCAAATTTACTCTTAAGCTCAAAGTCGCTTAGAGTAATTTTTTTTTGGGGGGGGACTAGATGATATAGCCCTATTGTCATGTTCCAATTCAGAAAGTGATTGTCTGACTAAAGACTGCGGACGACTTCACTAAGTCCACACCTACGATGCCGACTTGGCCCATCGGCTGTTCAAAAGCCATCGGACCGGCCACGGTCTCTAGTCGACTTTATGAAGTCGACTGGGTACAAGACAAATTCGTTGAAGACGACGAGCAGGCACTCTAGGAGCCCCCGAATACTTGTGTAACCTTATATCGACTCAGCAGGGTTCTATGTCGACTTATAAAGACCTCCGATGACTTGATATTCAGATGCGACATATGGAAGGTCCCCAAGTGCGAGTTTACACAGGATAAGAAGGAATCTAGATGCTGACTCAGGAATAAGCGGAATGCGAACCGACCGGGGCATTTTGGACACTTTGTGTATGTCGGCCAGGGCATTTTAGGTACTTCAAGTGAGTGTTTCTACTCCTATAAAAAGGAGTTGAGGTAACCCTAAACCCTAACTTTCATTCTCTCCATTCATTCTTCAGCTGTTGCTCCCACTGAGCAGAGCTCATCCTCTCCTCTCTCACTGACTTGAGCGTCGGAGGCTCTTCACCGGAAAACACTTCCGGTGTTGTGTTCTTGCAGGTGTTCGCAGCGGTCCACGGGTGACTTGGAGACGATTCAAACAGACCGGAGCTCATTTCCACCGGTTCACTCCAAATCTAGAAGGAGACCCATCACCCATCATGTTTAAGGCCGGGAAGCTGGATGGTCGCATGCTTCGACCACCTCTGAAGGTGGGGCATGTGTTAAAATTTTTAAAACCCATCAAGTTTAAGGCCGTGAGGCTGGATGGTCGCATGCTTCGACCATCTCTGAAGGTGGGGCATGCGTTAAAATTTTCAAAATCCGTCATGTTCAAGGCCGTAAGGGTGGACGGTCGCATGCTTCGACCATCTCTGAAGGTGGGGCATGCGTTAAAATTTTCAAAACCCATCAAGTTTAAGGCCGTGAGGCTGGATAGTCGCATGCTTCGACCATCTCCGAAGGTGGGCATGCGTTCAAAGTTTTATGTGAATGGTGCAATGTATGTATGGTACATGTCATAGCGAAATCCTGGGTAACCAATCGAGTACAAAGTGAACACACTAGCATATTAATGAGAAGAACCGTTGGAGGGGCATGCAAGAATATCGAGTCAGCTCATTCAAAAGACCATCGACAACAAAGAAAAATTAAGCAAAACATTCACATTCCAATAGATCATGAAAGATTGTCAACAATACATAGCACAAATTCAAAAAAGATAAAGCGAAAAATACAAAGCTAAATCTGAGGAGGAGGAGCTGCGGTCGAGTCGCCATTGCTCAGGTTGGCATTTGGCTCAGGTGGATGGCTGGTCCCGGAGGTTGAGTCACATTAAGAGGACGTTGTCGAATAGACTCGGCCAACGCGGCCAGCATCGGAGCTGGAGGAGTTATACCATCAGGCAGAGCATAAGTTTTCTTCAAGATGTCTGATCGAGCCAGAGTCCT